CTGCTAGCAGTGAGATAGAAAAACATTGCACGATCTGCTAAGTGCGCTCGACTTCAAATGCTTCCAATTTTGAAAAGGAAGTAATTTTCAGAATGACTTGTGAGCCGACTACGGCTTAAACGATGCTCTCACAGATGGATAAAAAGAGGTTTGAAAACTCAAAAAATTTTAACGTGACACACAGGGTGTCCCAAAAGTAAGTGCACACTTTTTGATCGTTAGTAACTCTCTTCATATTAATTCTTTTCTTTAGCTTCGAGTGCCCTTCAATAAAGGAGTCAACTTAGACTTGCGGTATTGGTCGAATCACCCATAACCCTTCATTACTGTAGGATTGCGGTAGGAATTTCCAGCATATAGCGTCATTGTGGAATAGGACATAGGTAAAGAGTTTTTAAAAGTTTCAAATGGCCCAATCACATTTTCAAAAAACACTGAAAAAAACGTCGTTTCGGTTTACTTGGCATAACTTATGAAAGAGGCTTAGTGTGAAGTGGGATTTTCGGTTTAATAATAAGCGACTCAGTCTACCTTAATGATAGTGCTTTCGGCTCATTGAGTATCTATTTTACGCCAGTATTTAGCCATTAATGTTCAAAACCGTTTTCAAGGTTCTTATCGTACTTTTACAGCAATGAAGGGAGATGGTGATTCGCTCCATATTGTAAATCTAAGTTGAAGCCTCCTCTACTGGATGGTGCCTCAAGCTAATTAAAAGACTTGCTGTGAAGAGAGTTACTTACGTTCAAAAAGTGTGTACTTACTTTTGGGACACTCTGTACATTAAAAATTTCAATGTTTTTGCTTTCAAAAATTCTGGAAATGAGCATCTAGCTTGGTAAAAGCTTGACTTTTCAGCAAGCTCTCCATATTTTCACGATGTTCCCGAAAATCCATGTGATCTAAAATTGAGATTACAAAGTGAGAGAACTTTTGGAAAACTGAGACAAATGAATTGAAGTGTTGTTTACAATTGCCTTTATATGAAACATATTCCCATTATCATCTTGATACTAGGGAATAGCCGCTGTGTCCATTTCTCTGTAATTTCAATACGGTGCTTGAAACATGTAAAAAAAAAGCTCAGAAAAATTTAGTTTCTTGTTTTAAGAGCAAAACGAAAAAATGTGATAAGGCCAATGTCACGACCCGATACCAGCTTCTCAAGGTGTTTACCTCATCACAGAGAACTCTAAAGTCCTTTTCAACAGCTAATGTTACTTTCAATATTGAAAATACAGAAAATAAAACCACTGTAATATTATCAGGTTGTCCTACAAGTCCCTTCCTTTTTCGCTTTTCAACCCAGTACTTCCACATTTCCTGGTTATCAAAATTTTTTCGATAAAGCAGAGCAAGCTCTACAAAGTGACACCCGAATATTTGCATAGAATTCTTTCTACATTGAGTTAAAATCTGAAAACTTTCGCAATCCCGAATGGAAAAAATTCGTTGCTTATAAAATTTCTGGAAAGCTGTAACTTATCCAAGCTTATATACCCTTCATCTGACGTTCATATGCACACTTGGTTTTTTTCCGTTACCATAAATTGATAGCAGAGTTCAGCACAGGTGGATTGCAAGCAAGCTGGATATTTTTGGGAAGAAAAACAAGGGGATATCTGAAGCCGCCGAAAACAAGCAACGTTTTTTTTAGACTTGGGGATTTTTTACGTTCAGGGTTTAGAGTCAAAGGGGACCTCGTAAAAATCGCGAAAGTCAAGAGAGACTTCCTTTTTTGCATTTTCAAGCCCCTCGTGCCAAGCCCTGATTGAGAAAACGAAATTGGGCATGTTTTATTTTAAGCGATCTTGAGCTGCTTTCATACAGGCGATTTAATAGTTAAAAACTTTAGAAAAATAATCACAAATTTCGTTTTTAGCAATGGAAAAAATACAGCAGATGTGCATAAAAATATTTTATGAAGTGCCTATAAGTGAACAAGTTGAAGTTTCCTAATTTTTTGAGCAAAGTTCTGAGTTTTTCGATTTGTCAAGTTTCTGAAAGTTTATTAAGGTCGAACTAATACTGTGCAGAACTTTGGACGCCACTTTGTAGAGCTTGGTTTGCTCTATCGAAAGTCCTAAAGCTTTTTTAGAAGTCAAGAAAAATCGAAGCACTTAGGGACAATCAAATAAATATATGCGACCAAACTGAACAATGAGGCGATATGTAAATCCTTCTATCAAGGTATCCGAAATGAGTGCCACTATTGAAGGAACAAGTTAAGCGTGCGGAGATTGATACTCGGAAACATTTAGCATTTAGCAAAGTTGAGTAGATTTCTTCGCTAATGTTTGCAAATGCACAATTGGAAAACAGGATAGCTGCCGTGCGGCAAAGGTTGGTTGAACAGGCTGCTATGGGCAGCTGTGTGTTAGCGAGGCGCCATCTATGTAGGCGAGGCCGCATCGATCCAACCGCCTTAGAACAGAATTAGAGAACGGTGAACTCGGAAGCATGAAAGACTTGCTTCTGCAGTGTCGGCACGAGATGGCTCGAAAATTTTCAAAATGAAGTCCCCCCTCCTCCTCCCCCACTGACTTAGTACGATGTCCCCTGTGACATTTCCATGAGGAAATAAGCACAAGGAAATAAAAACAAAAACAGTACCATCACATTAGAAGCACACTAAAAGAAACGGTGAACGCGTATTTTCCGAATTTGCTGTATGCTGTATTTGGGCACAACAGCCGACGCTGCCAATAGATTCATTATCCAAACTGGACTAGGCAGGCGTCTCGGATATCCAGTGGTGTCTTTTTTATGTTTTTTTGGACTGGGAAGCATTTTAGGCATGGTACCGCAGTGAATGTGTAAGTTTGCAACTTCTCAGGCAACGGATAGGACCCCTCCGCCGGAGAAATGGCAGGGTCGCGGCGTTTCCCCAGCGGTGGGTCTCCCATTTGTCCGGCGGAGCCCTCCCATTTCTCCGGCGGAGACCTCCCATTTCTGCTCCGGATACCTCCCATTTTCTGCTCCGGATACCTCCCATTTTCTGCTCCGGATACCTCCCACTTTCTGCTCCGGATACCTCCCATTTCTGCTCCGGATACCTCCCATTTTCTGCTCCGGATACCTCCCATTTTCTGCTCCGGAGACCTCCCATTTTCTGCTCCGGAGACCTCCCATTTTCTGCTCCGGATACCTCCCATTTTCTGCTCCGGAGACCTCTCATTTTCTGCTCCGGATATTTCCCATTTTCTGCTCCGGAGACCTCCCATTTTCTGCTCCGGAGACCTCCCATTTTCTGCTCCGGATACCTCTCATTTTCTGCTCCGGAGACCTCTCATTTTCTGCTCCGGATATTTCCCATTTTCTGCTCCGAAGACCTCCCATTTTCTGCTCCGGATACCTCCCATTTTCTGCTCCGGATACCTCCCATTTTCTGCTCCGGAAACCTCCCATTTCTGCTCCGGATACCTCCCATTTTCTGCTCCGGATACCTCCCATTTTCTGCTCCGGATACCTCCCATTTTCTGCTCCGGAGGCCTCCCATTTCTGCTCCGGACCCCTCCCATTTTCTCCGGCGCGGCTCTTCCAAATTTGGCGGACACGCGCCGCGCAAATTTCTCCGGCGCGGAGTCCGCCAAATCTGGCAGAGTCGCGCCGGAGAAATGGCGGACCTTTGCAGCAGGGCCGGAGAAGCCTCCCATTTGCCTGCCAGTGATGTCACCGCGATGGACCGCCCATTTGCCCTTCTCTCATTGGTCAACTGGGTCCGGCGCGACTCTGGCAGTTTCGGAGGGTCCGGCGGAGGGGTCCCGTCGATTGTCTGAGTTTAGTGATTGGAGCTGATTCATAGTAAATACACGTTCTTTCTGACTCTTCTTTCAAACGCTGTTTTCTACCAAATAACGATTTTCCTCAAAACTTCTCGTGGTACCTCAAAGACAGCTTCCAGGCAACCTATTTATATGGGGGATTTCACGTGAAGTATCGAGGCCATATAAGACATTTCCCAAACAGCAACGCTGATAATTCACTCACTGAGGAGATGTTCGCCATCGAAATGACTATATGATAGTAACGGACGACTTGGCTTACGCTCGCTTGTTTTCACTACATCAATTTCGCGCAGATCCACGCGAGAAAGCATGCAAGCACGATGCAAGTCGTCCGCTGATACGATCCCGTGGTCCAGTTTGGGGACGAATGCAGCTCGAGTGAGTCACTTGCGGTGCCGCTTGAAGGCACCGTCCACCCAGATTCTCGACTTCCATGTTTTACTCGTTCCGGAGCCTTCTCATGTTCTGATTCCGAATATGAAGTCGAGAATTTGCGAAATCCCCAATAATCCTCGTTCCGGAGAATTCGCAGGCTAGCTTTCCGGAAGGTGATTGGCTGGGCTCCCACAGATGGGCGGGATGGACAACGTGGCGTTATGGAGCAAAGCTACGCCGCATTTGCCTGCGGTATATTCTGAGGACTCTTTGCGTTGCGTCGCTCCTAATTGCAGCCGAAGGAGTACTCCGCTCCTGACAACGAACTTAGCCATTCCCTATTGCTACGTCTTGAGAAGATGTCCAAACTGCATGAATGCAATTAAGGTAGTTAAAATCGAAATATAGATGGATTTTACGGATGCAAAGGTTGAATCTCGGATGAGAATAAAAGACTGATTTTGAGTGTAACACGAGAATTAGTAGAGAAAAGGGACAGAAGATTTTCTTACTGACTTTCCAAGCTTTTACTTTCTCTTGGGTGGTACTTTACAACACTTCTTCCTTAGAATCTATTTTTTCATCCTCAAAATTCGTTTAACTTTTGCATTTCGGTCTTTCTACAGAAGAAGAATTATGATAATGACTCAATCCGCTGGAAAACGCTAGCTCCTCTGCGGGTGCAATTAGGAGCGACACAACGCAAAGGGCCCTCAGAATATACCGCAGGCGAATGCGGCGTAGCTTTGCTCTATAACGCCACGCCGCCGGCATAAGTAACAGTGGATAAGTACTACAGCAATTAAGATGCGACTTCGAAAATTTTAGACAGCGCATATGGGATGCCCAGCCGTTGACCTAGTGAGACTATTTGTTACTTGCCTCAGTGGAAAAGACAGAAGACGATACTGGGTAGCTCTGATTGAAGAGTTCTATGGCTATCTAGTAGAGGAAGTCGGGGACAAGGAGATGCCGTTTACGCTTGAGCAGGTGCTGCAGGCTTTACCAAAATGATAATTGAGCTTGCTGATTTTAGCTCAAGGAATCATACTATCGCTTCCTGCCAATGGGCGCTTTTATGATAATGCAAAGTATTGGACCTCTCTTCGATGGATTATGCAAAAATCCGGACGAATTACAGAAAGCGAAAGTAACTTACTTGTGTTGTAGGTTGGCATGATATACTGTTCTTTTTTCAGAGCTTAGCTGTGGTTACTGAGAAAACAGAGTCTGCTGGATGACATACTATTTCATCATACAATAAACACATGTCTCAAAGAGAATAATTTACTGTATACTACTGCAGACTCGAAAGTTATTGAAGATTTATTGCAGGCTCGGGAGACATTGAAGATATTACAGAAACATAGTGTAGCTATGTAGCTTGTAGCATCACCACGAATATGCATTGAATTTTAACCATTATTTCTCTTTATAAGCAGATAAATCCTACTTAATATAACACTTTTGCAAATCCTACTTAATATAACACTTTTGCAAATGATTACGTAGAATAACCACAAAACAGCAGCTTGGAAATTGTTGCGCCACAGCTTTGTGTACTTCTTCGAGCTCCAGATTTGGTCGTAGGTATTTCATAAGAAGCATTGGCTATCCTTGTCTGCAACTTCAAAGGCAGTGTCCCGGCAGATTCGCGCTTTGGGGGATATTGCTATGGTGGGGTTCTTCGTCATCATAGTGACCTCCAGGCGCAGTCCGGCTGGTTGATGTTCCCCTTGCGCCGAGAAAATACCCCTTCAATCAGCGCGCTCGGACGACTTCGCTTACTGTTCTGCGCGGGTTCGCACGACCGCTCTCCCGCATTCTCCATGCTATCCAAAGCAAAAAATTACAAGCAGCAAGGTCTTTGTACCAGGGACTCCCAACTATCCATCAAAATTCTTATCCGAGCTGCCTTTTGAAGGAAGGAATAGGTTTAGGAATAGGAAGGTTTTGAAGGAATATTGGTGGGTATATTTTGAGTATGGTTGTTCTTGCGAGTCATAGCAAAGGTACTCGCACCCGACCTCTGAGACTGGCCTAAAATTTTGTATTAGATTTGTCACTTTCCAATAGAGCAGTGCTAGTTCTGAAAAAATTTGACGTTTCCGGAATCGTTAAGTTTTGGAGGAATATGGGTGGGTATATTTTGAGAATCGTTGTTTCTGCGAGCCATTGCAAAGGTACTCAAACCCGACCTCCGAGACTGGCCTGGAATTTTGCATTTTTTGTCACTTTCCAGTAGACCAGTGCTAGTCCTGAAAAAATTTGACGTCTCGGGAACCGTTGAGTTTTGGAGGAATATTGGTGGGTATATTTTGAGAATCGTTGTTTTTGCGAGAAATTGCGAAGGTACTCGGACCCGACCTCTGAGACTGGCCTGGAATTTTGTATTTTTTTGTCACTTTCTAATAGAGCAGTGCTAGTCCTGAAAACATTTGACGTTTACGGAATCGTTAAGTTTTGGAGGAATGGTTGAACTGTTATTCATTTTCCACTTTCCTACTGATTCCTCCAAAACTTAACGATTCCCGAAACGTCAAATGTTTTCAGGACCAGCACTGCTCTACTGGAAAGTGACAAAAAAAAATGCAAAATTCCAGGCCAGTCCCGGAGGTCGGGTCCGAAAACCTTTGCAATGGCTCGCAAAAACAACGATTCTCAAAATATACCCACCCATATTCCTTCAAAAATTCACGATTCCGGAAAAGTCAAATGTTTCCAGGACTAGTACTGCTCTAATGGAAAGTGAGAAATCTAATACAAAACTCCAGGCCAGTCCCAGAGGTCGGGTCCGAGTACCTTTGCAATGGCTCGCAAAAACAACGATTCTCAATATATACCCACCCATATTCCTTCAAAAATTCACGACTCCGGGAACGTCAAATGTTTCCAGGACTAGTACTGCTTTATTGGAAAGTGAGAAATCTAATACAAAACTCCAGGCCAGTCCCAGAGGTCGGGTCTGAGTACCTTTGCAATGGCTCGCAAAACAACGATTCTCAATATATACCCACCCATATTCCTTCAAAAATTCACGATTCCGGGAACGTCAAATGTTTCCAGGACTAGTACTGCTCTATTGGAAAGTGAGAAATCTAATACAAAACTCCAGGCCAGTCCTAGAGGTCGGGTCCGAGTACCCTTGCAGGCTCGCAAAAACAACGATTCTCAAAATATACCCACCCATATTCCTTCAAAAATTCACGATTCCGGAAACGTCAAATGTTTCCAGTACTAGTACTGCTCTATTGGAAAGTAAGAAATCTAATACAAAACTCCAGGCCAGTCCTAGAGGTCGGGTCCGAGTACCCTTGCAGGCTCGCAAAAACAACGATTCTCAAAATATACCCACCCATATTCCTTCAAAAATTCACGATTCCGGAAACGTCAAATGTTTGCAGGACTAGTACTTCTCTATTGGAAAGTGAGAAATCTAATACGAAACTCCAGGGCAGTCCCAGAGGTCGGGTCCGAGTACCTTTGCAATGGCTCGCAAAAACAACGATTCTCAATATATACCCACCCATATTCCTTCAAAAATTCACGATTCCGGAAACGTCAAATGTTTCCAGGACTAGTACTGCTCTATTGGAAAGTGAGAAATCTAATACAAAACTCCAGGCCAGTCCTAGAGGTCGGGTCCGAGTACCCTTGCAGGCTCGCAAAAACAACGATTCTCAAAATATACCCACCCATATTCCTTCAAAAATTCAGGATTCCGGAAACGTCAAATGTTTCCAGGACTAGTACTGCTCTATTGGAAAATGAGAAATCTAATACAAAACTCCAGGCCAGTCCCAGAGGTCGGGTCCGAGTACCTTTGCAATGGCTCGCAAAAACAACGATTCTCAATATATACCCACCCATATTCCTTCAAAAATTCACGATTCCGGAAACGTCAAATGTTTCCAGTACTAGTACTGCTCTATTGGAAAGTGAGAAATCTAATACAAAACTCCAGGCCAGTCCTAGAGGTCGGGTCCGAGTACCCTTGCAGGCTCGCAAAAACAACGATTCTCAAAATATACCCACCCATATTCCTTCAAAAATTCACGATTCCGGAAACGTCAAATGTTTGCAGGACTAGTACTTCTCTATTGGAAAGTGAGAAATCTAATACGAAACTCCAGGGCAGTCCCAGAGGTCGGGTCCGAGTACCTTTGCAATGGCTCGCAAAAACAACGATTCTCAATATATACCCACCCATATTCCTTCAAAAATTCACGATTCCGGAAACGTCAAATGTTTCCAGGACTAGTACTGCTCTATTGGAAAGTGAGAAATCTAATACGAAACTCCAGGGCAGTCCCAGAGGTCGGGTCCGAGTACCTTTGCAATGGCTCGCAAAAACAACGATTCTCAATATATACCCACCCATATTCCTTCAAAAATTCACGATTCCGGAAACGTCAAATGTTTCCAGGACTAGTACTGCTCTATTGGAAAGTGAGAAATCTAATACAAAACTCCAGGCCAGTCCTAGAGGTCGGGTCCGAGTACCCTTGCAGGCTCGCAAAAACAACGATTCTCAAAATATACCCACCCATATTCCTTCAAAAATTCAGGATTCCGGAAACGTCAAATGTTTCCAGGACTAGTACTGCTCTATTGGAAAATGAGAAATCTAATACAAAACTCCAGGCCAGTCCTAGAGGTCGGGTCCGAGTACCCTTGCAGGCTCGCAAAAACAACGATTCTCAAAATATACCCACCCATATTCCTTCAAAAATTCACGATTCCGGAAACGTCAAATGTTTGCAGGACTAGTACTTCTCTATTGGAAAGTGAGAAATCTAATACGAAACTCCAGGGCAGTCCCAGAGGTCGGGTCCGAGTACCTTTGCAATGGCTCGCAAAAACAACGATTCTCAATATATACCCACCCATATTCCTTCAAAAATTCACGATTCCGGAAACGTCAAATGTTTCCAGGACTAGTACTGCTCTATTGGAAAGTGAGAAATCTAATACGAAACTCCAGGGCAGTCCCAGAGGTCGGGTCCGAGTACCTTTGCAATGGCTCGCAAAAACAACGATTCTCAATATATACCCACCCATATTCCTTCAAAAATTCACGATTCCGGAAACGTCAAATGTTTCCAGGACTAGTACTTCTCTATTGGAAAGTGAGAAATCTAATACGAAACTCCAGGGCAGTCCCAGAGGTCGGGTCCGAGTACCTTTGCAATGGCTCGCAAAAACAACGATTCTCAATATATACCCACCCATATTCCTTCAAAAATTCACGATTCCGGAAACGTCAAATGTTTCCAGGACTAGTACTGCTCTATTGGAAAGTGAGAAATCTAATACAAAACTCCAGGCCAGTCCTAGAGGTCGGGTCCGAGTACCCTTGCAGGCTCGCAAAAACAACGATTCTCAAAATATACCCACCCATATTCCTTCAAAAATTCAGGATTCCGGAAACGTCAAATGTTTCCAGGACTAGTACTGCTCTATTGGAAAATGAGAAATCTAATACAAAACTCCAGGCCAGTCCCAGAGGTCGGGTCCGAGTACCTTTGCAATGGCTCGCAAAAACAACGATTCTCAATATATACCCACCCATATTCCTTCAAAACTTCACGATTCCGGAAACGTCAAATGTTTCCAGTACTAGTACTGCTCTATTGGAAAGTGAGAAATCTAATACAAAACTCCAGGCCAGTCCTAGAGGTCGGGTCCGAATACCCTTGCAGGCTCGCAAAAACAACGATTCTCAAAATATACCCACCCATATTCCTTCAAAAATTCACGATTCCGGAAACGTCAAATGTTTCCAGGACTAGTTCTGCTCTATTGGAAAGTGAGAAATCTAATACAAAACTCCAGGCCAGTCCTAGAGGTCGGGTCCGAGTACCCTTGCAGGCTCGCAAAAACAACGATTCTCAAAATATACCCACCCATATTCCTTCAAAAATTCACGATTCCGGAAACGTCAAATGTTTCCAGGACTAGTTCTGCTCTCTTGGAAAGTGAGAAATCTAATACAAAACTCCAGGCCAGTCCCAGAGGTTGGGTCCGAGTACCTTTGCAATGGCTCGCAAAAACAACGATTCTCAATATATACCCACCCATATTCCTTCAAAAATTCACAATTCCGGAAACGTCAAATGTTTCCAGGACTAGTACTTCTCTATTGGAAAGTGAGAAATCTAATACAAAACTCCAGGCCAGTCCTAGAGGTCGGGTCCGAGTACCCTTGCAGGCTCGCAAAAACAACGATTCTCAAAATATA